CGGGTGAGGTCCAGACCGAGTGCCTCCATTGGATCTAATATTTTGAGCGCCATCATGATCTCAATAAGGGGTGAATTCTGGCGGCTCACTTTTGGGCGTGGGAGCGCGGCCGAATATGTCAATCAGACAACTGTGCTCGGCTCGAGTACTGGGCGTGCTCCTCTGCTTGCAATGGGTGCGGTGCAAACCTCCAATGCGATGGGCGCGATGTTCCAGGCGGCCGCGCCTGCGTCGCAGCGCGGAGCGCAGAGTGGCAGGCGGCCCAGCAGAGACAATGAGTGGTTGCTTTCTCGAGGTTTCAAGAATATCATGAGCTCCAGATGCGGCATCTAGAGATGGCCCGCGTTGAAGCGGCGGGAAAGGCCCCGATTGGGGCTGGCGTCGAACTTGCCGAGGGCCAGGCCCGCGCAGAGGTCGAGCAGGCCCAACCTGAATTCGAAAGGGGGAGTTGGGCGCGACGAGCCGCGGACTTGCGTTTCATTCTGCTTGAGCGCGGGGCCTCTGCCTTTGGCGTGGAGGGTGTTGGGCGAGCTGCCCGACTCGCTGGAATGTCGGAAACCAGGGCGCTAAGGAAGCCGCTGTGGCTGAGGCCCATGCCCCGAACAGCAAGATTCGAGGCCGAACGCATCGCCCATATCCAAAGGGGCGAAATGATGGCCTTGGAGTTGGAGAAACTGGACGTGGGCAAGGCCGAAAGGGACATAATTGTCGCTGAGCGCAACGCATTGTTTCAGGCTGAGAGTGCAAGACGTGCAGGCGTTTGCCACCTCCGCGATATTGCACATGGCCGGCACGGGCATCTCCAGGACTGACCCTGGAGGTGGTGGGGCCACGGCGGCGGCTGATAGCAGCGCTGCAGTATGGCACTTGTGCACGCAGCCACGGTGTAAGTATTGCGGATTCTGCGCGACGTCGTGTTGCAAGGGCCACTTCAACGTGGGAGCTGGCAGGTGCGTGCGCGCGCCAACGTGAGATCGAGGCGGAACTTCGCGTGGATGAGGCAGAACAAGAGCGCCATGCGAAATATGGGGAAGACGGTTGACGTATGAGGTCTGCGAAGGAAGTTCGCATGTCAGCAGAACAGGACAACAAGTATGAGTCGGTTGCAGAGTCGCCTCTGGAGGCGTGTGACTGAAGTATCCACGGGTCACGAGTGCAAAGATCGCAGGGGCGATTCATCGAGGAAGCGCCCCGCTGTGCCGAAGCCAGGGTAGCGAGGCCAAAAAAAGATCGCAGAGCGCGACGCAGGGCGTCAAAGGAAAATAACAACGCGGCGCGTGCCTCGTCCAGGAGGGTTCAGACCATGGAATCCAAACATCACTCCTTCTTTGTCTTGCCAGGGAACATAATATTTGAGGGGCAAGATAAGGACGTTTACGAGCCTTCTGCAGGGAAGGGCAAGGGCCTCGCAAGGCGTGGCAACCATCTTCGGACCGCAATGGGTGACGGAGGGCCCAGAGGCGGCCCTGGTCCTGAGGACGGTGACGCAGGGGATCCCTTTGTAGCGTGGGCCAGCCCCTTCAGCGCAGATTGGGGCGGCGTAGAAACAATCCAGGACCTGTTGGGCCTGGAGGCCAGCTTGGGGGTGACGGACCAGGTGGCGATGGCCCCAGGGGCGGTTCAGGCGCCTTTGGTGGAGGATCGCTCCCCCCCCTGGTGGTGATGGGCCGCCGGGAGACGGCGGTCCCCTGGGGATAGTGCGGCAGCGCCGGTTCCCTCTAATCCCGAAGGACGAAAGCCTCCAGGCAAAAACGACAGAATGAAAATGAACCTTCCAGGTATCCATTGTTGCCAGCCTGTCTGAATGGTCGAGAACAGCATGTCGAGTAGTAGCCGCTGCGGGCTGGGAGTCCGATGGCGCACTAATGTGGTTTCAGCAGGCGCTAGACATGTCCCATGTTCACTTGGACGGAGCCATCGTCCAGTACGCGGCTAGCCCCGCTCCTAGCCTTGAAGGCGTGTGGCCTTTTTAGCAATCCCCGCTGTTATCCGGGCTCAAGCGCCTGAGCGACCGCATCTTTGACAAAGAGAGAGAGAGAGAGAGAAGGTCCGCTTACATCGTATTCCCGCCATCTTTTGTTATGCGCCCCCAGCCCCAACAAGTTTCAATCCATTCGATTCCTCCTCTTCCTCCTCGTCCTCTTTCTCTTCCTTTTCTTCCTCCTCTGCTGCTGCTCCTCCTCCTCCTCCTCCTCCTCATCGTCGTCGTCGTCGTCGTCGTCGTCGTCGTCGTCGTTGTCCTCCTCCTCCTCGTCCTCCTCCTCCTCCTCCTGCTCCTCCCCCTCCTCTTCCTCCTCCTCCTGCTCCTCCTCGTCCTGCTCCTCCTCCTCCTCCTCCTCCTCCTCCTCCTCCTCCTCCTCCTCCTCCTCCTCTCAGCGATCCGCGAACATGATGGGCGAGTGCTGCGCCGCGTGCGGTGTGCCGGCTCTGGTGGGTGCTGGCGCTGGTCGCGCTTGCGGCCCCGGGACCATGGAGCGGTTGGACATTGCCGAGTTGCAGGGCAAGTAGAAACAACTAGAAGGCACCGTCAACCCCAACTCGTTGCATAAGGAGGAGTTGCAGAACATGGTCGACGTCGGGGACACGAAGAAGGGCATGGCCGCCGACGACGAGGATTCGAAGGTGGCCAAGAAGCAGTTCGAGCAGGGCGCTGTTGCCTATGCGCTGGGGGAAAAGCTCGACGAGGGGAATGTCGAGCTCAACGGCGCCCTGGACTTGCTGGCGCCCGAGGTCGCCAATGTGGAGTACACTGGTGCGGTCTTCGGCGAGGTCTCGCTGGACGCCGACGCGGAGCGTGACGCCATCACGGCTGGCACGTAGGCAGACCTCGCGTCCAACCATGTGCGGGAGCCGAAGGCGATCTTGTACGCGAAGGCTGTGGCTGCTGAGGCGCTGGAAGCAAAGCCCGACGATGGGAAGCTTGAGCACCACGGCGCCCTTGGCAAACAAGGGGTCGCAGACGTCCGCGATGCAACAGCAGGTGGACGAGGGCCCCTTCGGCGGTGACGTGCAAGGAGAACGACATCAAAGGGCTGCAAGTCTTGCTGGAGGCGGTGGCTCCGCGGCACTCCTTGAGCTGAGCGTGTAATCGGTTCTGCGCAATGGTGCTCTTCACGCGCTGTCCCTGCCTCGCCGTTTGTGCCACGTACTATTGCGAAGGCCTGACGGCCGGTGCCGCCGACCCTGTTCGCAATGCGCAGCAAGAGATTACGAGGTTGCTCAAGGTCGGCTTGGCTGGAGCCCAGGGGAAGAGGAGTCCCAGGGGGGGGCGTCGTATCTGACCCGGGGGGGGGGTCGCTACCCCCCCCCCCCTCCCGGCGGGGGAGGGATCAAAGGGAAGGGGCTTCCCTTCGACTCAATTACGAGGTTGCTCAAGGTCGGCTTGGCTGGAGCCCAGGGGAAGAGGCTCCCCATTTCGGGGAAGAGGAGTCCCAGGGGGGGGCGTCGTATCTGACCCGGGGGGGGGGTCGACACCCCCCCCCCCCTCCCGGCGGGGGAGGGATCAAAGGGAAGGGGCTTCCCTTCGACTCAATTACGAGGTTGCTCAAGGTCGGCTTGGCTGGAGCCCAGGGGAAGAGGAGTCCCAGGGGGGGGCGTCGTATCTGACCCGGGGGGGGGGTCGACACCCCCCCCCCCTCCCGGCGGGGGAGGGATCAAAGGGAAGGGGCTTCCCTTCGACTCAATTACGAGGTTGCTCAAGGTCGGCTTGGCTGGAGCCCAGGGGAAGAGGAGTCCCAGGGGGGGGCGTCGTATCTGACCCGGGGGGGGGGTCGACACCCCCCCCCCCCTCCCGGCGGGGGAGGGATCAAAGGGAAGGGGCTTCCCTTCGACTCAATTACGAGGTTGCTCAAGGTCGGCTTGGCTGGAGCCCAGGGGTTGCTCAAGGTCGGCTTGGCTGGAGCCCAGGGGAAGAGGAGTCCCAGGGGGGGGCGTCGTATCTGACCCGGGGGGGGGGTCGACACCCCCCCCCCCCCTCCCGGCGGGGGAGGGATCAAAGGGAAGGGGCTTCCCTTCGACTCAATTACGAGGTTGCTCAAGGTCGGCTTGGCTGGAGCCCAGGGGAGGGAGTCCAGGGGGGGGCGTCGTATCTGACCCGGGGGGGGGGTCGACCCCCCCCCCCCCTCCCGGCGGGGGAGGGATCAAAGGGAAGGGGCTTCCCTTCGACTCAATTACGAGGTTGCTCAAGGTCGGCTTGGCTGGAGCCCAGGGGAAGAGGAGTCAGGGGAAGAGGAGTGACCCAGGGGGGGGCGTCGTATCTGACCCGGGGGGGGGGTCGACACCCCACCCCCCCCTCCCGGCGGGGGAGGGATCAAAGGGAAGGGGCTTCCCTTCGACTCAATTACGAGGTTGCTCAAGGTCGGCTTGGCTGGAACCCAGGGGAAGAGGTCTCCCAGGGAAAGGGAAGGACAGAGACGACGAGTACAAAGAATGACGGAGATGACGGCTCGAACGGAAAAGCCCCTCACACACGCCGACAGGGTCGGCGGATTCTAGTGATCTTCGGCTCTGGGCGAGGCCTCGGACCCCCCCTCCAGCGCGTGTGCAAGCGCTCGTGTCTTGGCATGGCCGCCAGTCTGCAGAGGCCCGCGCGCCTCGCGGCCCTGGGGCTCTGGTTCCTGGGGCCTCCTGGGCCTGGGGCGTCTGGGGCCTTCGCTCTCTGTGGGGCTCCCAGGCTCGGCTCCCGGGCTGCGGGCTCCGCGGTCTCGGGCTTCCTGGGGGGTCGGGCCGTCCCCGCGGGGGCGGGGCGTGCGCCCTCGGAGATCCCTGCCGGGGCCGCGGATGGCGCTCGCTTCTGTCGGGTGCCCATGCGGCGGGCCGTTGTGCCGCCGTCTGCAACCACGTCGACGGGGCTGTGCCCCGAGCCCCTGCCGTTTTTGGCCCCTGCTCCACGCCAGGAGGAGTTTCAGCGAGAGGAAACAACAACAACAACTCCTCCTCCTCCTCCTCCTCCTCCTCCTCCTCCTCCTCCTCCTGCTCCTCCTGCCCCCTCCTGCGCCCAGGTGCCGCGCGGGCGAAACTCCCTCGCCGCGTTCGCCTTCCACCCGCAGGCGCGGGCGATACCCTTCCGTCGCGCAGTCCCCCTTCCTTCCCCCCTTGTCAGTCGACAACGCCGGCCTCCTCCTCGCCGTGGCTTCGGGTTAGGCTCAGGGGCAACGCCAAGGGGGGATTGGCTCATGGGGGGATGGATGCATCGACCGTCATCGTCCATTCAACGCCGATGGGGGCCCGATAGCCCGCCCCCCACCCGAGCGTGCGGATTCGCTATCGGGGGCCTATCGCCGATCTATCGGCGATGTGTCGCCGATTCCAGGTCGATGCTTCGTTCCCTGCGCTGGCCCTCCCCCAACGTTCCTTCTCAGCCGGACGGGCAGGAGGATTCGCCATGATCGGCGGCGCGCCGAGCGATGAAGCGAGGGGGGGCAGGCCTCTTCGGAAGACGGTGGGGGGGGTCGGAGGAGGTTCAGACAGCTTCTCAGGCGGGTGGAGGCCCTCTGAGCCTGCTGGAAAGGCCCGCCCCCTCCGCGTTCCCCCCTTGGCGCGCCGCCCGCACGAAGCAGACGGGCCCTGAGGGAACCGGGGTCCCGAGTCGTGTCGCCGCCTCAGGGCCCTCGCAGACCTCCAGCGACTCAGGGCGGCGCGAGGTGGTCCCCGGAAGGAGGGCCCCGGGCTCCCGGGCCCGCTGCCCTCGGTGCCCCGGGGGAGGGAGGGAGGGAGGCCAGCCGCCTGTGCCCCCCTCCGCCCCCCCTCCCCTCCTTCTAGGTTCGTTCTGGACATCCTCCCAGGGCCCCCCTGGCGGATCTGCTCGACTCCAGTCCGAATCTCGCTCAGCTCCTGTGCGGCACGAGTTCTGCCCGAGGCGACGGACGTTTGACGCAGTATCGGCGCACGAGTGGGGGCGAATGGCTCCAGGAGGGTCCCCAGAACGAGCACCTGCCCGTTCCCTCGGCCCCCTTGCCTCTCCCTCTCTCTCCTGTGGCCGCCCCCTGAGGGCGGGGCTCGCCTCGCGCCGCATCGCCCTGCTCCTCTCCCTCCTCCTGCCCTGTCCATTTCTTTTTGTCCAGCGCCCGGTCTTCAGTCCAGATGAAGGGAGAAAAAAACAAAGGCCACAGCGACGGCTCCGCGGGGCACCGTGTGTTTTGAGATTTGCATGTCCTATGCGTCTGGCAACGCGCCGTCAGGGCGCGGCTCCGCTCTTCTTCTTCTTCTTCTTCTTCTTCTTCTTCTTCTTCTTCCTCTTCTTCTTCTTCTTCTTCTTCTTCTTCTTCTTCTTCTTCTCCTTCACCCGTTTTTCACTCATTGTGCCTTTTCCATTCCTGCCAGCTCCGCTTCACCCTTGGATTAGGATGCAACTCCTGGGAGGGTAGATTCAGCATCAGCGCTGGTAGATCCGTAGTCAATAGCCAGCCTAATCCAGCCCAGTCCCGCTGAATTCCGCTTAATCTGGGTTGATCCGGCGTTAACGGGCTCTATCCGGGGCCCAACCCCGCTTGATATGGCTTCTTGATCGGGCTTCATAGCCCTTGCTCGTTCGGACGAAGACCTCCCAGGAGTTGCTTCCAAGCTTCGGCTCGTTGGGCACCCGTGAGGGAAGCCCGGAAGCGCGCCTGGTGCCGATGGGGGGAGGAGGGTGGGAGGGTGGGGTGCGGGCGGGTGCGGGCGGGAGGGGGGGGATGGAGGGATTGAGAGGATAATGAGGAGGAAGTGGGAAGAGGAGGTATGAGGAGGAGGAGGAGGAGGAGGAGGAGGAGAGGAGGAGGAGGAGGAGGACGGAGGAGGAGGAGGAGGAGGAGGAGGAGGCAGGAGGGAGAGGAGGAGGAGGAGGAGGACAGGGGAAGAGGAGGTGGAGGAGGAGGTGAGGAGGAGGAGGAGGAGGTGGGTAGGAGGACGGTGGAGGAGGAGGCTCTGGGTGGAGGAGGATCGGCCGGAGGAGGAGGTGGAGGCGTGAGGAGGAGGAGGAGGAGGAGGAGGAGGAGGAGTAGGAGAAGAGGAGGAGGAGGAGGAAGAGGAGGAGGAGGAGGGGGAAGGGGAGGGGGGGGGTGGGTTCGGCGAGGCGAGGGGGATGGGCCGGAACGGAGGGGGGAGGAGGGAGGAGGGAGGAGGGAGATCTAGAAAGGAAAGAGGGGAGGAGGAGGGGAGTAAGGAGGGGGGAGGAGGGAGGGTGGGAATGGAGGTGCGGGAGGGTGGGATTGACGGAGGGATGGGGCGTGGGAGGGCGGGCGGGCGGGCGGTGAGAGGGCGGGACGAGAAAGGTAGGTAGAGAGGAGGTCGGAGGAAGGGGAAGATGAGGAGGAGGATTGAGCAGGAGGTGGAGGAGAGAGGAGGAGGAGGAGGAGGAGGAAGGAGGAGGAGGAGGAGGGAGGAGGAGTGGGAGGAGGAGGAGGAGTGGAGGAGGGATAGGAGGGGAGGGATGATGAAGAGGAGGAAGAGGAGGGGGAGGAGGAGGAGGACGGAGTGAGGCTGAGGAGTGAGGATGGAGGCCCGAGGGAGAGGAGGAGGAGGTGGATGACGGAGGAGGAAGGAGGAGGAGGAGGAGGAGGAGGAGGAGGAGGAGGAGGCGAGGAGGAGGAGGAGGAGGAGCAGGAGCAGGAGGAGGAGCAGGAGCAGGAGGAGGACGAGGAGGCTGAGGAGGAGGAGGAGGAGGAGGAGGAGGAGGAGGAGGAGGAGGAGGAGGAGCAGGAGGCGGAAGCGCAGGCGGAGGCGGAGGCGGAGGCACTCCCCCCCCGGCCCGCCCAGGTGGGCCTGCTGCACCCCATGGCGGAGGGCGGGCCCTGGAGCGGCGCCGGCGCCTTAGCGCGCCGCGCTGCGCTGTGGGGTGTCTGGAGGGGGCAACGTTCGTCAAGGGCTAACAAGAACGCCCCTACCCTGGTTTACGAGGCGCTGTGCGCTGAATCTCCTTTGGGCCCACAGGATAAACCCTGCGTGTCGCGCGGCTTACTGGCGGCTCTCTGGCTTCTGGGGGCTCGCAGGAGGTCTACAGACCACGCACTTGTAACCCAGGGTAGGGGCGTTTTTTCATCCCTCAAGTTCGGGGGGTCGAAGGAGAGAGAACGGCACAAGCATTAAACTTTCGGCGGTCCGCGCGGATTTCTTGGATCGGCGCTGGCCCCCCCTGGCGGCGCCTCTGGCGCTGCCCCTGGCATGGTCCGCGCGCCAGGGAAGGGGGTCCAGCACATCTCCCGGAAATCAGGGTGGAGCGCGACAAGTTATTGCTAATGCAGTTTTTTCTTCTTCCAGGAGGGGGAGAAAGCCAGAGGCAACGATAAGGGGGATAAGCAGAGGAGGGGATGCGTCGACCTCGAATGGCGAAAACATCGTTGATGCATCGACGATACATCGTTGATATCAGGGCACTCTGCCCGACGCATGTATATGTGTTTGGTTCGCCAATGAATGAAAATATAGGCGATGCATCGGCCATGTATCGGCCATTCGAGGTCGATACATCCCCTCCTATACTCCCTTTCGTTGCCCTTCAGAAATGCGTCGAGGTTCGAGGTTTTTAAATGTTTTGGTGGGGTCTCGGCGGTTTTCCAGCCTTTGGGTGCATTCCAGCGGCTTCGTCTGGCCGAGAGCATTCTCGGGGTGCCTGGATCGCCCCGAACGGCCACCAGAGAGCCGAGTTATGACCCAACAGCAAATGGGCAACGTCAGGGGGGATAGGCTCAGGGGGCGTGGATGGGGGGGGAGGGGTGGGAAGCAGGGAGGGTCGCGCTTGACGTGGACAGTACGAAACCACAGCTGATTTTCATGATCACAGGAACGTTTTACCGCGACGCCTATTTCTCAATTCGCTGCCGGAGCTCTGGCTCTGGAAGAGGCGGAACTGACCGTGACCCGGATGATGAGAAAGGGTTATGTGTAGCTGCAACATTGTTTTCAATGTCTTACCTCGCCGCTACGGAATTCCCTTGAAGTTCTACCACTTCGCCCGATGGCATCGAGAGCCCGCAGATCTGAGCTCTCCGCGGCAGCGGCCCCCCTCTGAAGCCCAGCACGACACTCGTCTTGCGTGGTCACCTGGCGGGATCCCGTGCTCTGGATGAGTTTTAGCAGTATCAGGAGAGATATGTTAGTCCATACAAGAACGCATGGCATCCATGGAAAGTGGGATGCCAATGCCAGTGACTCCCAGGCGGTAGTCAAGTGTCGCGATTTCGTTGCGCCTGGCGTTGTCTTGGGGTCATATTGGTAGTGCCGTTTTTACCTAACAGCGAAGACTGATAGGTTTCTAGTAGGCTCAAAAGAGAGCATCATGACGCCCCAGAGGGGTCTGGGCAGATGCCGGACGGGTACCGGGGAGAATCCGCGGAAGTCGTTTTAAGCAAACAGTTACACACTTCGTGGTCTTTGAGGTCCCAGAACTCCATTCCCGGGCCACATTCTGAATGCCCGGAGCCAACTGTAGGCCACTTCGTGCTCTTCGAGTTCCCAGAACTCCATTCCCGGGCCACATTTTGAATGCCCGGAGCCAACTGTAGGCCACTTCGTGGTCTTCGAGTTCCCAGAACTCCATTCCTGGGCATGATTTTGAATGCCCGGAGCCAACTGTAGGCCACTTCGTGTCTTCGAGTTCCCAGAACTCCATTCCCGGGCAACATTTTGAATCCATTCTTGGGCCACATTTTGAATGCTGAGGCAGGCTGATGCTGAGGCTGAGGGCTGAGGGAGGCAGGCTGAGGCTGAGGCCGAGGCTGAAGGCAGACTGAGGCTGAGGCTGAAGCAGGCTGAGGCTGAGGCTGAGGCAGGCTGAGGCTGAGGCTGAGGCAGGCTGATGCTGGCTGAGGCTGAGGCTGATGCAGGATGAGGCTGAGGGCGAGGCTGAAGGGCTGAGGCTGAGGCTGAGGCTGAAGCAGGCTGAGGCTGAGGCTGAGGCAGGCTGAGGCTGAGGCAGGCTGAGGCTGAGGCTGAGGCAGGCTGAGGCTGAGGCTGTGACTGCGACTGCCGTTGCCACTGCGACTGCCGTTGCCACTGCGACTGTCATCGCGAATGCGACTACGACTGCGAGAACAGCAGAATTCTACAACTGGATTCTCATCAGAATCTTAAGGGGAATGCTTCCAGATATGCTCCTACACATCGCTATTAGGTTGCTTTGCCAGGATAACTTTGTTTTGCGCGTTTCCAGATAATTCTAGACTCTCCGCGTAACCCGACCAGCCCCAGTCTGCCCGATTGACCCGCCCTCTGGACTCTTCCTTGCGGGCCGCAGATCAAAAAAGTAACCCGACCAGCCTATCTAGAAACGATACCCACACGAGCTGTCCCCATCAGGAATCTGGAGGAGCAATCAGTGGCCAAAAGGCTGGGTAAAGCGTCATACCCCCAGGAGGGACAGGATGGAGGAGGAATCGAAGAGTAGCAGGACGAGGAGGAGGATGAGTAGGAGGAATAGGCGGATGAGGAAGAGGAGGATGACGAGAAGAGGAGGACGAGTGTAAACCCAAGGCTCATCAAAGATATTGCAAGTAACCCTCCCTCCAAGTTCCCTCTTCAGAGGCCCCGACAAGGATTCATATACGTTGAAGGAAGTACCCCGCCGGAAGACAGTCGTTTGACAATCTTGAACTGTGCCAGAACACCATTCCTTGGATTGAAACGCCGCAAATAGCCGTACTGTTGCGTCTTGACGACACTGAATTGTGCCAGGACGCCGTTACTGAGACTTCAACGTAATTGTTGCGCCATGACGCTCCGAAATCGTGCCGAAACATTCTATTTCTGACACGTTAGCCATGAGAGTCCTTGAAACTATTGTAAGTTCTTAACGAATTTACGCGACGTTCAGGCGAGAGCCACATGATGAACAGGAACCGCCCGCCATCCGTGAAACGCTCGCAGTTTTTGAGACAAATCTGTGTGGCGCTAAGGCGACAGCGACATTTTGACAGCGACTTGCCCTCCTTTGTGAAATGTCTGCAACTTGTTAAGACGAATGTGCGCGGCGCTAAGGCGGGAGCCACACTTTGAATACGCGCCGCCGTCCATCCGTAAAGGCCTTCTTCATGTGTAAGACGAATGTGCGCGGCGCCGCAATGCCGTGCGGCTGATATGAGAAGGAATGGTCATTTATTTGTCACCCAGTTTCTCATTCTATCTGTATTGCTTACATCGTTCCTGGTGTATCGTATATGGGAGATATGACATGTGAAGTTGCCACGGAGCTTTCGACCTGGTAGCGGAGCTTGTCACATAATGCGAGCGTCATTCGGCGGTATGGTTTCCGATCCGCCAGATCTGTAGAATTTCGTTATCCCCGACCTGGATCGGCAGCTACCCCGCGCCACACCCCGTAAAGTATCGACCAGGATGCGCCCTCGCCCGCGAAGTAGGTGGAGTAGTCTTCTGCTGAAATATTCTGCGTTCTGCTCTTTCTGCGAAGGCAGGTTGCACGCCATTTCGTCGCGGTGATTTATTGGCCCAAGCTCCGTCCGCGGTTCCATGGATTTGTTTGAGTGTGGATACAAACCTAGCACAACAGTGTCGGCCCGAAAATTCAAATTGTCAAGTACTTCAAACCAATCAGGCCTGTCTTGCTTCAAAAGGAGGTCGTGCCAATTCCCTAGTGCACGAGCATGGCATTACGTCGCGCGGAAACGTGTTGAGCCTTCAGCCACGACGACTGACCAAGTCCACCGAGACAGATGCCTCGCGGAGACATTTGCCTGAGCAGCACTCCGCAAGACTGAGTGTGGTGGGGCTGGCTGTCTACACTGTCATACTAACTCATCATCGGGTCCGCTAGTGGCTACATGCACGCAGTTGGAAGCATTGCGATAATTCATCCCTCCTGTATAGGGGCCTAGCGGGGAATGTCGAATATCGAGCATACGTCTTGGAGGTTCGCGATTTGTTTGTTACCTAACAGCGAAGACTGATTGGTTTCTAGTAGGCTCAAAAGAGAGCATCATGACGCCCCAGAGGGGTCTGGGCAGATGCCGGACGGGTACCGGGGAGAATCCGCGGAAGTCGTTTTAAGCAAACAGTTATTTACACACTTCGTGGTCTTCGAGGTCCCAGAACTCCATTCCCGGGCCACATTTTGAATGCCTGGAGCCAACTGTAGGCCACTTCGTGGTCTTCGAGTTCCCAGAACTCCATTTCCGGGCCACATTTTGAATGCCCGGAGCCACCTGTAGGCCACTTCGTGGACTTCGAGTTCCCAGAATTCCATTCCTGGGCATGATTTTGAAGGCCACTTCGTGTTCTTCGAGTTCCCAGAACTCCATTCCGGGGCTACATTTTGAATGCTGAGGCAGGCTGATGCTAAGGCTGTACAGTGTCGATAAATTGAGCTCGAGAGGATAAATTCTCGGCCGAAATGTCCAAATTTCATATTGATTCTACATTTTTGAGGCAGAGTTTGTTTTGCGAAGATTTATTCGATACAATCAGCATGTTTATAAGGTAAAAATAATTAGTCGCAATTGCAACACAGTGAGTCTTGGTTCGAGAGTTAAAATTGTACGATTGTTATATTCGAAGACATATTCCACAAATAGATTAGACATCAACACAAGCAGAGACATGTATGGCAAGAACACATATTCGTAAATTTGATTCCCGTATGGGGAATAGCAGCTAAATTATATGACACGACATTATGTGTGTTTTCATTTATTTTAATTATTGATATAGTCTAGGTGCAAAGAAACAGTGTTCGAGCTTGATGTGTTTGAGTATCAGAAGATGAGACATAGGCAGTTTATTGTATTGCAAGTTAAGATTGCGCGAAGATTGACCGTATTTTCTCGTTTCGGTTACCTTTTTTTGGCGTAATTTTTGCA